ATAAAGCAGCCATTAAATTGTAGGGTAAACACAGTTGTTGCCAATGATACTAATTAAGGTTCCATTCCATTCAAACAGAGTCAGGGTGCTGATATGGTGCATGTTGGCTCACTGGAAAGGCTCTGCTACACTAAATGGGACAATCTTAATTAGTACCTTAGTGCCTTTTGGCTATTTCTCGCATATTTACAACGATGCCTATTAATATGAACAGTATATTTGTAACACCTGCGTTTACCCGACTATTTCATGTCAAAATGGCTGCTGTGAAAAAGGTCTATTTTGTATTATTTGTGGTTGCAGCAGCCTTATTTCATTCCAGTTGTCATTATTTGATGTCACTGTGACCCTTTGGCAAACGAGTTGTGTCGTGAAAGCGACGCAGCTGTCTGGCTCAGACTGAGCATGCTGTTGTGCTCCCTCTCTCCCTTCCAGGGGGTTCTGTCCAACATCTCCTCCATCACAGACCTCGGGGGCCTGGACCCAGTCTGGCTCTTCATGGTGGTTGGGGGAGTTATGTTCATTCTGGGCTTCGCAGGATGCATCGGAGCACTCCGGGAAAACACGTTTCTACTCAAGTTTGTATGTTCCATTATAAGAGCTCCAGTTCGCACAGTGCAGTGAGGAAGGATTGGAAAGTTACCTGAGCGTGTGTTGTTTTCTGTCTTCCTGCTATAGTTCTCCGTGTTTCTGGGGATTATCTTTTTCTTGGAGTTGACGACAGGTGTCCTGGCGTTTGTCTTTAAGGACTGGATTAAAGACCAGCTCAACCTGTTCATCAACAATAACATCCGGGCGTACCGGGACGACATCGATCTACAGAACCTCATCGACTTCACTCAGGAATACGTAAGTGACATAAGACCTTGGAAATGAAAGTAGTATATAACTCACAAATTTCTGGAAAAGACCCTGGGATTTAAAGCTCCAGAAAAGTGTTGCTTTATTGAAGATTATGCCAAATGTTAGTTTACAGTTCACAGATTTAAGTACAGTGCTATTTGCTTCCTTATATTTCTTGCAGATATTGAATTATATTAGCCAATAACACTGAGTGTGTGTTACGCCCCCCACTGCTATGCAACTAGCGCTGAGCGTTAGCGTCTGCCTTCCAGTAGACACGGCCAGGCGGACCCCGGACTGAACACTGTCTCTGAGACTGATGGTGCCAGTTTGACAGGGAATACAGTACAGTACAGGTTTTGGCTCCTGGCATCCCAGGGCTAAGCCAGTTAGGTTAGCTGCATGATTCACCGAGCTAACGGCAGTTAGCAGTTTGCTACTTAGTCTGGAAACTCTGTACTGTGACATTATTCCCTGTTGGTCTCAGAGGCTGGGTTTGATCCTGGTTCAGTCCGGCTGCTATGTCCGGTTCTGTTGCCCACTAATGATAAATACAGTTAGCATTAGTTAAAGCTATCTGTCCATCAGGAAACTGTGTAAATCACAGCAATTTGAAGCTGAGCAGCCGGAGGACATCAAAGGGAAAAAACAGAAAATATTTTCTTCATAAAGTATGACCCAGTTTCACCAAAATCTCTGAATAAGAACGTGATGGGGCCGTGAGCTCAGAGATGGACTCTGTTAGGCCAACAACAGCAGCTCCTCTCATCGAAATGAGGTAAACCTGCTGTGTGGAGGCTTTGCACTTCAGAAGCCACAAGCTGGTCTGATTGGACTTGTGTAATTCCTTAATGAAGGCAGCCAATCAGGTCATCAGACAAATCAAATCCACTTGTGATGCATTTAATTCTATTAATGTCTGAGACTGCACTTTGAAAAAGGTCACTTCTACAATCAGGAATTTGAACAAATATTTTTCCCTGTCTGCTTGTCTTTAGTGGGAGTGCTGTGGTGCGTTTGGGGCAGACGATTGGAACCTGAACATCTATTTTAACTGTACTGATGGGAATCCCAGTCGGGAAAAGTGTGGAGTTCCCTTCTCCTGCTGCACCAAGGACCCAGCGGTATGTGTCCCTCACTCTGCACACATGCACACATTACACAATACACCAGTTCTGACTTTTCTTTTTGCATTCTAACCAGTTCAATCCTTTTTAATTAGACAGATATTCATGTGTGAATTGAATGCTTTGGTTCTGAGAGGTATTTAAACTTAACAACCTAGTATGCAACCTGGAGCAGTTTTCTCAGAGTTCAATAAAATTGTTTTTGTATACGATTCTGAAGAAAGTTAATAAATATGTCTTAATGTACCCTGTTACTAAACGTTAAAATCTTGAATGTGCAGTCAATGAGGTGATATTTGTATTCGGTAGCATAGCACTTCAAAAAGTGTTAACAGATTTGTTGTTTTGTTTCTCTTGAGAAGGTCCCTGAATGGCTATAGAGTGCTGCAGGAATGAGTCCTAAAACATGGAAATGAACAAATTAGCATTTTAGCACCTCGGTTCCCTCTCCTTGAAGTCGGTGTTTTTTATAAAACCACGTTTTTGGTTAGATGCCTGAAATACGGTATGTGGTTAACACAAGCTTAAGAGATCTTCATGTTTTGTTCTACAACTGGAAATCTGTCAGTAAATGGCAAATCCCATTGGCTTTTTGTGAAAGGAACCACAAAAATAATCATCCCTGCAGCACTGTGTATCAGTTGGTCGATATGTCCCTCACTTTGATAGTTTTCATTTAGCGCCACCAGCAGGTTTAAGATTTTAAGTATCTAGTGAAATACCTTGACCATCTACTGGATAGAAATGTCTGTGGTATGATGAGTCCTAATGACTTTCCTCTAGCACCATCATCAGGTCAAAATGTCAGTTTAACTAATATTTTACTTTAGTGTGTATTTTGTTTTTATTGCTAATTAACAAATGGTAGCATGCTAACACACTAAACTCAGATGGTGAACATGGTAGGCATTACTCGCTGAACGTCAGCATGTTACCATTGTCAATGTGAGCATGTTTCTAACTCTGTTTTTCAATAGGTTAAATACTTACGTTTATTCTTTTGTCTTTAGGAGGACGTAATAAACACTCAGTGTGGATACGACATTCGAGCTAAACCAGTAAGTAACATCTGTCTACTTGACTCTTCCATTTCTTCCATTTTCATGTTCCCACAACTGCCCCTCTAATATTTATTATTCATTCATATATTTTTATATTTATCTGTTGTATTTGTCTGTTGTTTTCTTTAGAAATGTAATATTTATTTTCAACAAGTTGATTTCAGGGCTAGTGATTTTATGATCAGCCAAGGCAGCCATTTTATGTTAAATGTAACTATTAGAGGAAGATTTAAAAACAATTATTAATTTGATAGATAGGAATTTAAGATGATACACCTATACATCAGGTATCCATGAGAGCACTGTTTAAACACTGCTTCCACTCAGTCTAGCCTTAATTTCCACATATTTAACAGATGAAAATATTAACTTTAAGTAAGGTAGGCTGGTAGTTTTTTTCCTGCTCTGTCTTTGTGCTAAACCAGTCTATACACAGAAATGGAACTACTATTTTTTAATGTGACTGTAGTGAAGACTGACAGTAGGTTAAAATGTCAGATAGTATGACTACACTCAGAATGTAAAGATGACCGCAGGAGATTCTGTTCCTCTCAGGACTCGGAGCAGAAGGACTACATCAACGTGAAAGGCTGCGTGCCACAGTTTGAGAAGTGGCTACAGGACAACCTGACCTTGGTGGCCGGGATCTTTATAGGAGTTGCACTGCTGCAGGTCAGTTTTATTTCCATGTTTAACCTTCATAATGTTCCAGAAAAAAAGCATCATTCTATATATAAAATCTTGTTTTGAAAATGTCTAATGTTGCCTTTTTATGTCGTTTTTTCTTTCATCAGATTTTTGGGATTTGTTTGGCCCAAAACTTAGTGAGTGACATTGAAGCTGTGCAGGCGAGCTGGTGAGATGAAGATCTTTACTTTTCTTGCTTCAGTTCAGTGTCTCGTGTATCCTCACACAGACAGCACTGTTTTTCTGGCTTTAAAGCACACTTCCATTCTGTTTTTCTGTTTCCATTTCACAACATGAGGCATTTCAGCCCCTTTGTCATAGTATAATGCTGCCGATATTTAAGATGAAAAAACTTGTTTGAAGTACAGCACTAGTCACGATTAGTATTTTGCCATTGCTTGTTACTCATTCCTCCTGGGAGGAACATCAGAGTATTTTCTCAACTCTTAGATGTAAAGAGCAAAAAGAAAGTGGTCTGAATTATGTTTTGGCGCTAAAAGTTGCTTGATGTGAGGTCTGTGCATAGGTCTGGAAAGTACGAAGCCCATTAAGTTACCATCTTCTACCTACAGGAGCCATATCTTGAGCACACCAGTTATGTTAAAATCCATACATATTTTGCTCAAGGTATATGGATCTTTTACACACAAGTTATTATCCTGTTAGTAAAAGATCCATATATACTGTTCGCATAAAATATGTATCTAATGTGCACATGTTATCTTTTTTGGACGAGATCTATGTATTGTATGCACTAGTTATTATCCAGTTTGCACAAGATTAATATGGGGGATGGCCTATTGTTCCAAAACTCCAACAGTCCCGAGTATGCCATTTGAGCATAAGATGAAAGAAATATAATCTGAGACTTCAGGGCTTTACAGGGTGGAAGTTGAAAAAGTAAATGGTACTAAACACTGAATATTTAAAATAATAATAATAAATACCTACAGCTATTAAAACAAGACATGGTAGACTTTCCATCAAACATCTGTTCCTTCGGTTAAAAGAAAGCTGTTTGTGGTTCCCTAGCGGACTGAGGAGAGGACAGGGAGGACAGTTACTGAGCTTTACCATCATGTTGCCAAAACTCACCTCACACCTCATTCTTCCTCCTCCATGCTTCGTCAGGGTGCCCCCCCCTCTCTCCATGCGCCGACTCCCACCACACTCCAGCAAGAAAGCATCGGCTTACTACTCATGAGACACACACGCACATATGCTGTATGTGTGTTTGTAGCCGGTGGGTGTGATGGATCCATTTGGTCTTTTGTCTTGTCATTGCTGTGAGTGGGTGGATGGTCTCTGTTTTGGTGTTGTGTTGTGTTCCATTTAGGGTCCAAATTTGTAAACTTGGAGATGTTACGTGTTCATTCTACCCATACTGGTAGACTTGCCTCCATACCCTATCGTACGGAGGCAGATGTGTGCCACTGGAGTAATTTTGTCATTTGTCAGTGTCAAATTATATTAATTCATAAACTGATAAAGACCCAGTGAAATGGGCCTTTCAGTTGCCTCTTCAGTGGTGACCTCATGCTGCACTGGTGGGTGTAACGTATGAACAATGTATAAACAACCCCACCTTCCACCTGTTCTATCAAATCTAACCACCTTTCTCCGTAACTAATCGTCCATTAGTTTACACATTAGACCGACCAGTGATACACTTTCAATTTAAAAATCATTCTAATTTGATTAATGCAGTTAGTATTTAAATTACACATTTAAACTCAAAAAGTAACTTTTAAATGTACCTTTTTTTTTAATTTCCATAGATTTGTCTGCCAAATGTCTCTCATCAGTTCATTTCCTGCTGTACAGTTTATTTAATGACTTCTTTTTAATTTTTATTAATAAGACAATTTAGGAAAAGAAGATCCATCAAAACATTAAACAAGGTGCAAATCATTGTTTAATAGCCAATCATAGCTAAATGTATTAAATTACTCCAGTGACATATCCTGGATATTAGAGATTTAGAACAAACCACAAAAGAAACCTTGCTTCCTTTCCTCGCCATGCAGCATTTCCTGTTTCAGTATTAGGCGGTGTAAGCTAGCTATTTACCCCTAGGTTAGAAACATCATCATTTATATCAGAATCGTATACAAAGTCATTATTTGCAGTGATGAGCTGACATGGAACACACAATGGCTGCATCGAGTGATGTTTGTAGCACACCCCGGAGGCGCTGCGTAGACACAAGTTGTCAGGTTGGACTAATCTGGAAAGCAAATGTGATAAAATATTGCTTTCCTGATGCGTCAAGATGCAGCCATGTCTGTTGCCCTGTAGGTTCATGCATTGTTCACAATGTGTATTTTGAGCATTAGGAGCAGTGTATGTTGCTGCTCGTAGCCCAGAAAACCTGGAGTTGATCATTTCCACATGAAAGTCCAGTTTAAAAAGTTCTCTTTCTCTAAGACAAAATATCCTGTTTGATTTGCTTAATGAGTTTAAATTAAGTTTGAAACAGTCCATGAACATGTTCCTGAATGTTGACAGGCTGTTGTGTCAATGACACTTTCCTGGTCCATCTACACATGCTGGATTCACCTTTGCACTTCAAAATGGGTTTTGGACACCTTTTTGTATGACCACTTATTGATGATCGGGGTTGGAAGGGAAACTGTAAAAATGGAATTCTCTGTCAAAAAATTGAGACGTCACTTTGCTTTAATATTGTGATCCTTGCATTAGGTTACTAATGTAACAATAGAAGAAAAATATCAATAACAAGTTTTGTGTAGTGTTTTCTATCAAACAAAACAATGACACCTTTTAAAAAGAAAATAGAAACAATGTTTTTTTTAAATTGCAACCCATTAATCCTTTTTTTTTTAAATCCCCATTTTTACTAAATGTAGTTGTAATCATTTTACTCTGATGTATTGCCTTTTAAAGCCTTTTTTGTATCCCGATTACAGGATAATTACAGTTCTGTGCTCAAATTGTCCCATCGCACACAATAATTTGGACACAAATATGATTCCGTAGATTAAGCTCCTCCGGATGTCTGCGGTGCACTGAGCATAACGGGGACGCACTGAAAGTTCAAATTTTAACTTTGACCCGATTTGTACCGAACTGTACAATAACAAAGTGGCCTCATATGAAGACCAGATAAAAATGGTACCCACATTGTACCAATCTACTTCTAGTAACATTAGCCTTAGGCTTGATCCAGATGAACTGTGCCTCAGCTGTATTTAAAGCAGATGAGATCAGGCGGTGGCAGCAGCAAGAGCAGCAGGAGGAGGAGGAGGAGGTCACAAAAGGCTGCAGTCAAGTCGGACCATTCCAACCTTCAAAGAATATACAGGAAGTCACAAAATGTTTCCTTCCTGTTCGGCTCTATAAATAAACTTTATCATCATCCACACAAAAGATGTTAACAGATTAAACTGTTATTGCACAACATGAGATATGAAGCAGCTGCTATCTACAGTTAAATACAAAAGTCACACAATATCAGGATAACGTGAAAACTAAGAGCCAATCAGCTCTTCGATCAGGCAACAGCCAGGCGTTTCCCATAATGCCCTGGCTCTTGCAGTCCGTGAAGAGCAACTGCAGCGTCTGGCTCTAAAAACTGTGGCTGCCTCGATCTCATGAGGTTATCGTTGCCAGCCTGCCTCATCCCGAACGAGCCCATTGTAAGCGTTAAGGTGGCGCCAGGAGTTCCGGAGTAGTAAATACTGCACCGGCCAACAAAGGATGCAAAGTCCTGCTGTAATGTCAATACACCTTTATGCTTTAAAAGCTCAGCAACAAACAGCAGGACACTGATGCAGAGAATGTCTGACTCCAATACATTTCCAGCAGTTCTCAGACTCTGATTGATCTCAGGATTGGTTACATAGGAAAGCTTGTAGTTCCCGTCACTTTGCAGCTCATTTAAATCAAAATCTGGACCTCTGTGAAATTTGGACTGTGTCGATGGACCTAATGAAAGACAGTGTGACTGCATGTTGACCATATTCCCACTGAGCTGTAGAGACGGGGTGGTTTGCATTAACAAGCCGTGGAGTCTTGTGACTTAGACAACAATCCTTTCTTTCTTCACTGTCCTTTCACTGTGACTTTGTCCTACTGAAGACATTTTTTCTCTTTCTGTCTCCTCTCTGTCTCAACTAGTAATCCTGAGTTGTCTCTCTGCCGCCTTTAGTTCACCCCGCTGATCCTTTGCAGTAAACTGTTCTCCAAGCATTCCCAAACTAACCCTCAACTGCTCTGCTTCCTGTTGTCCTGACCTGTATAAGTGTTGAACCACGCTGGGGGTGTTGCAGCCTTGTTTAATACGCAGATGATTTATCAGCCTTCTGTCTCCTCTTTTCCAGTTTCTTTACCTAATGCTGAAGCTGCATTTCAAGTTTAACAGGTAGGCCTTTCTTGTAATGAAATAGAATTTTGCTGTGTACATTACATTTGAACAGGATCACATAAAAATGGAAAATAATGCTAATTAGATTGTGTCTGTCTGTTTCATCAGCTCCTGGTCTTTGAACGCGCCTCCTCAGAGGACTTCACCGATCACCTGCACCATTGTGTTCACTGAACCAGCACCTTTTTTCAAGGCACTAATATGTGATATGCTCTGTATATAACACTGTGTGTGACTACTGTAAAGAGAGGGTCATTGGAGAGGATGGTGAAACATGCACTACGTACAGATTGTCACGATGCTCCAGTTTTGATAGCTACGTGTAGAGAGTAGGAGTTTTGATACATCTTTTTGATATTAGATCGGTATTTTTCACTGTGGAAATAACGCTCCATTGCTACGCCCATCATGTAGGATTGTGAAAGGATCTGCTTATTTTAAGGTTCAGTGCTTGCTTTGTGTACATTTCCACCACCAGGTCCAGGTCTGAGGCACCCGTGGTATAAAGTCATGAAAGGTACAGCTCTGAAATAGTTTTGAACTGAAAGCAGGATGTGCTTTAGTTCTCTTTTAGCTAAATTCCCTTTAAACCAATAACAAGAATTAGTTCTGCTCTCTGAATAATGAAATGGATCTACAAACCTAAACAAGAATTGCACTACCAATAAACTGATTCCACTTCAGTCAAACAGCAGCATGGGTGACTTCAGCTATTAAGCATAATGAGTTCCAACTCAACCAAAGCACCGAGATATCAGTTCATTTAGTGATAGAACCTACTCTCCAATTACTGACGGAGACTCTGTTCGCACTGTAGCTCCACTGTTGGATGTCCACAGCACCACATGTAGGTCTGGGTATCAATGTTTTGGGATTGATTGAAAATATCAAGCACCGAACCTGGCACTGGTCTGATACTGCAATCAGATATTAACTGATTAAATCAAATTTCTTCTCCATTTTAGACATTTATTAAAATTCTTGTGCGGCAGCTTGAGTTTAAACATTTAAAATAAGAACTTTGGCTTCTTTTGTTAACAGATAGGTTCTCATTTACAATACAATTAATGACCCAATGCTGTCTGTGTGAAGCAGTTATTGTTTGCTGTAATTATTCCTCCTCTGTGCTGGAATTTAAACAGTCCACGGTCCTCGTTCTGTGTAAAACTGCTTCACAAGCTGCAGCTAATAGGAGGCTTTTGCCCCAGTAACTATACAAATCCCGACATGTGATTTAGCTAACACTGACTGTCATGTTAGCTTCAGCTGTACTTTAAAATGCATTTTTGTATAGAACAACTGCTGCTGTAGATTCTGACCTGGAGTCATGCAACTAAGTGATTTCTTCTCAATCAGCATGGACAGTAGGAACGCTCACAGCAGACAGTCATGTATTAATGTACATGCTAGCATTAAGATGGGCTTGAAAAATGACTACAAAATGTATGTAGCCGTAACCTCACTGTCTTTACCAGGTCACGTTTTACTCCCCACAAAGCTTGGTGGTTGGAACACGAACAAGGAGCAAGTCATTAGTCCCTGATGTCGGAGACTTTCTGAACATTTTTAGTGTTTTCGTACATTTCTGCCCTTACTTGAATGAAAATCTGGCACATGTATCCCATGATGCCTTTCACTACTTGTTTTTTGATGCAGATCTGATCAGTCTACACACAGTATCGACTGAACAGAATCCTTAAACCCAGCCCAGAGATTCAGACTCTTGTTCCGATGTTTTATCAGTGTTTCTTTTGACGGTTTAAAGTGATTCTTTGCTGAAAGCATGCGTCACTGGTTTGGTTTGTAGCGATGTATTTGCAGTGTTTTATCAGTGAAGTGTTTCCTCAGTCTGCTGGGACTGATCCTGTGGGATACATTCGGAGAAGTTTTACTTTAAAAGGGATCAACACTGTTTTTGATACTAAATATTTATTGTACATTTAATTTGGTTTTTATACCCTCCCTGGTGTATTGGACAGCAAACACTGAGCACTGCTGAAGGCGATTAGTGGCTCCACAGATCGAGGTTATGTTCCAAGTGTAGGAGGTTGTAAAATGCTCTAATGAGCTGTATCTCTCACTCATCACTACCTGTACCACTTCCAAGTATTGTTTAAATGGTCACAGTATATCCCACAAACATTGTTATGTAACTACCTCCTAATTTCCCTGTTCATGTCCTGTTGAAATTGGACTGATTTTAATATCGAGTAAAATTAATTAATAAAGGTGACAAAAAACATTGAAAGTGTTATTTTTTCTGTCCATATTTTTGGCACAGAGCTCACTGATTTGTTTATGCATTGCACTTCCCACACATCGTCTGTCAGTGTTCCTGGACATCGTTGGTGTCTGTCGCCGCTGATACAAACTAGTCCAGTTTCTGTTTATTCCAGACGACTGGGCTCCAGAAACCAACTGTGGAACACGACATGTTTCATAAAGTGGACATAAAGATAAAGACCAGCTGCAAATGAGACTGTCACGGTTTATTTAACATACAAACTACCATTAGAATGTATGGAAACTCAATCTGTAACTGTTAATCTCAAGGTGAGCCAGCTCTGTGAATGAAGGTTTATTTTGACCAAACCAGAGTGATTGTTGTTGACTGTAGAAAGACTACAGTAGACAGTTTGGTGAGTTTTATTTTATTTCTGTCCCATTGTTTTGGTCTGAGATGCTGGTTCTCCAGTGTGACAATAATTTAGTATTATGTAACCTTTGTAAAATTTGAAAAAGTGACAGCCCTAGGTGCAAATAACGTCATTCTATTTATGTTGTAATAAGACAGGTATTTGTCATTTGATTTGAATTGTACCACACTTCTCAGATTTGGGATGCACAGTTAATCAAAATATTATCAAAATATGGCAGAATGCAGACTGCAAAAGCTGCAGTTCATTGATAATGAGCTACTGTAGTGCTGCAGAGAGGATGAATCTCGTTCAGAATATTTGGTACTGACCCCAACAAATGTCACATCATGATTTTAATAGTTTTTTGAAATTAAATTTGTGATGATGATCATTCCCACTCTAATGGTGAATCACATCGCTGTATCTGTCACTATGTTTACCATGTCGTGCAGCCCTCACTGAGATTCTGTCGGAATAAAGACATCAGCCATCACCAGCTATCATCTTTTAATTATCTGCTGAGTTACAATCCTCCAAATGTACAACTCATGACATTTACAACAAACATTTAAGTTTATAGTATTTTTACGCAGTTACTATGGATACATCTCCACTGGCATGTGTCTGTAGAAGAGCACAAATCTGATAAATAACCATTCATACCTTTTTAAAAAAAAAAAAGCGTGGGCCCAGGGGAGGAACACACCGTGGCATGTTAACAGGAGGGGGGGTACAGTGTCTGACATGCTGAGGTGTGCATGTTAGCAGGAATCCCTCTGACTAGAAGAACCACCCGTTGCACATAGAGAGCTGTCCTCTGGAGGGCGCGGTGGTGCAGTGACTGTTGTGTGTCTGCATTCAGTTACCCGTTCTCACTGCCTACCCCAATGAGCACATCCACAACACACCCATACTGCACACCCATACTGCACACACACGCAGGAATGGTGGCTGCTTTATTTCGGACTGTAAAATGGCGCTCCCTGGTTTCCTTACAGAGCACAGCAGGGCTCCAGTGTTGGGAGGTTTTAGGGCACTATTGTGTGTTCTAACAGGACCACGGAGTGAATCTGGATCCTAGGCTGGAGCCCTCTCGGGCCTGCTTTAACTTCTCTTGTTCTTGGCTGCTCTTCATAGTTTACTCTACCATCTCCTGACTGACTATCCAAAAATCGGAAATAATCCTTTGATATTTTCTAGACTTTTACCCACAGTGCAACACACAAGAACTGTATCTGTAGAGATCTGGGTATGCAAAGTGTCAAACAATGATTAGGCAAACTGTGATGCATTGATTGGACTGATGTTGAATAGGCAGTCTTAGCAACCTGTAAGATGGGGAAAGATGAGGGAAAACTACCAGATAGAAAACAAGAAGGTCTCTTTAACTGGAGTCAATACCAACCTTGTTAAATCAAAGACTTTTGGCCATCTTTGATTTCACATTGTTGTTGTTGACTTTAATGGAAGAGACCTTTCTTGTTCAGACTAAAATCATTGTTTTTGTTACTTTGCACCCCCCTGCCATTGAGTCCCTCCATCTTACATGTTGTCAAAAAGGTTGCCTACCATTTGGTGAGTTTGTATTTACAAAAATCTTCCTGTAATCGTTTTGAGGAGCCGCTCAGCGACTGAAATGTCCAACTTCCGAGAGATGGCAGCACAAGACCATGATAATGTCCTGGATCAGGGCCAGCAGGGCTCGCAGAACTGGACTCGACTAACAAAGGTAGGCTTGGCTACAGCCCTGCTCTCCACTATGGTTGATTCTCTCAGTGATTGGGTGGAGCCTCTACCGTTACTGTACAGCTGTTGGAGCAGGTGGAATTAAAAATCTGATAAAATCTACAGATCGTATAGTCTTAAAGAACAAGTGCGAAAAAAAGGGGTGTACAAGACTGGAGGTGTCAGTGGAGGAGGGCGGGCTGTACTTTGTATGCGAGCGGTAGAGAGGTAAAATGAACACTGTCACACCTTCAACAGGACTAAAACATGCACAGTTTCTAGTCAATTTATACTCGAGCTACATGGGACACAACTGGGCACATCATGGATGGCTGCTTTTCTTAGAAATGAAAGAAAAATCACAACAGGAAGGTATTTTTTTGTTCTTTTGTGCACATTTTTCACTGGCGGGTTACCGGCGGATGGTATCACAGCTATGGTCGTAGAAGAGTGTCGTCTCTTATCTATTGCGTTAGGCTGTTTATGGCGCCTCAGCTCCTGTGGAGCTACTTGTAGCAGAAGATGCATGCACAAGTAGAGGTGGGGACCAGGGTTAGACTGATGTAGCTTGTTTAAGAAAAGAAAAAGAAAAAAAGGTGTCTCCACATTGAAGGGGTGTCGGTCTGTAAAGCCTGAAATGAAACCTGCCTCACCCTGCCTTAAGGACCTGCTAACCCACCTAAATAAATCTCATTATGGCTTTCAGAGGAGAGTTTTGGTGTCCCACAGTAGTCTAAAACCAGTTTCAGAGGCTTTTCCACCCTAACAAGCATTCCATTTGCAAATTCTTGTAATTTAAAATAAAACTTCAATTAGGAAATGCTCAGATTTTCTGATCTGTATACAAGTCTTGCAAACTGACATCAGTGTAACCCTGGTGGAGGTGGGCGGGGCAGGGTCGGGGGGAGAGACATGACTGGTATGTCTGGCTGGCAGTTAACGAGACATGGTACCTTGGCACATGACGATGGGGCACTGGAGAGCAGTCATGAGGTGTCATTGGGTGATCAGGTGGTCAGGCAGGCATTGGGTGGGGTTGGGGGGTTGTGGGTGGGGGTTGGACACAGTCATTTAGCTCTGGGCAGTTAATCGCTGCTCTGTGAGCGACGCCTGGTGCGACACCGTTTTGTTTTCGTGAGCCCTCAGCTTGGACACCACGTCGATGAACGCCAGGCTCTGGACTTCTTTGTGGAGAGGCTCTGAAGAGAGGAGACAAACAAAGTTCACCAGTTTCTCATTTTGGCTTTAACTGACAGGGACATCACTCAACTGAAATCCTCCAGTACACAGAAACGCACTGTCTATTGAGTTCACTGTAATGGAACTGACGTGTTTGAGGTGTTTTACCTGCCTGTTTAGTGATTTAGGATTGGATCTACCTTCCCAGTTCTATATGCATAAACACTATTGGTCAGTCAATGTCCTTTTGTCCTGTTCAGCAGCACAGTGGACGTCACTTTACCTGCGCTGTCAGCAGCCCTGCAGGAGACACACTGTGGGATTTTAACTGAACTTTATGAGCAGGACACACACTTTTGCTTTTTCAGCTGTGTGGAATTCTGATAGAGACAGCCGTTAATGGCGGAGAAAATAAAAGTGTGTCCTGCTCGTGTCTCTCTTGCCACCGGGCTGCTGGGGGGCTGTCAACCCAAGACTCACTCACAGTGGAGGCCAGTAGGAGGTTGTATCTCCGTCTAGGCGACACGCTGGGAAATAACTATGTTTTAGCCTTTGACAAAGTTTCTCCTCACTCAATTTCTCAAAATTGTGAGACTGTTCTAAGGGAGTCTGGTAACATTGTAGTCACTCTGTGCTTGTTTACACTGTATTTGAAACTGTCAGGTTTAAACAGGCACTCAGACGCAGTGTAATTAAATAGGAAAACTACTACTAATAATGTGTATATGGTTAAAGCATTTGCAGGCCTCACCTGAGCCCATGACAGCACAGATGAGGATCATAGAGTTGTACTTGATCTCCGGTGCGCTCCTCTCGTCCGACAGCAGCTTGTGGAGCACCGACACCAGGCTGGCTCCAACAAAGTCCTTTTCAGCTGCAACTGAAGTCCAGAGAGAGTCTCAGTGTATTACCACCATGATGGATGTAATGACATGTTCTGGTTCTCTACACTATGTGCTACAGAGCAGAAGAGAGGTTTACTTTGGGATATAATAAATAATTCATGCGGCTTCCATTTTGACGTGGCTCTGGCATTTTTTTCCAGATTAAAAAGATCTACAGATCCTGTGTCAGGCTCTGAAAATCTCCCTGCTCCTGACTGCTCCATTTTGATTCAAAATACCACAATTAAAAAATGTTTGTGTTAAATAAAGAACATACAAACAATTCAGAGTGTAAAACTGTAGATACAAATAAACAATAACTCAATCATAATTCTTGCTCTTACCCAAATCCAGCCCTGCTATGAGACCCAAAGCCACCAGCGCTTCATTCTGCATGATCATATGCTCACTAGTTGCCATGGTAACTAAGTGCTTGACGCCTCCTCCCTGGATCACAGTTCTGACGACTTCCTGAAATCCACAAAGAAAAAGAAATCACTTAACATATCCGTCCTGAGACGTACTTCCAGATAAACAGTAAACGTGTAGGTGGTCTCTTCCTGTGTGCATCCTGTTAATAAAGACCTTACAGTGTTAGGAGAACTGTATGTGCAGCGTTGGGTCTGACCTTGGACTTGCTGTGTCGAATGAGGGCCGACAGAAGCCTGTTGGACTCGCCCATCACTCCTGCGTGATCTTTGGCTTCACACCACTCCACTAGCCTCTCCACCAGCTTCCCGTTGGTTCCCAGCTGGTCTGCAGCTTCAGCTGAACCAACACACAGCACGCAACATTACAGCCGTTAATCCGCTGTC